GTCCCAGCCTCTGCCTCCCCGTGTGACCTGGCCCAGCCCCTTTTCTTCTCTACCTCAGTGTTCTATTGTGAATCCAGAGAGACCCCCACTGACGATCCATGATCCTTGAGGGTCCTTCCAGCTCCAAGGCAGCCTGCCTGTGCCCCATCCTAGCTGCCCTCCACTATCTCTGCCCGTCACTGCGCTCACCTTCCCTCTTCCTGGGGCCACTGAGGACCGGGACGAGGGACCCGAGCGCTCTCCCTGATAGCTCCTGAGCCAGCCTGGGAGAATGCTTATGTCTGTGGAAAACATCACAGCAGAGCCTCAGCCCGGAGCCGTTGGGCAAGTTGTCCTTAACCTCTCAGAGCCTCAGTTTGTGGATGTGAATCCTCACAACGGACTGTTATTTCCTCATGGGGCTGTTGTGAGGATTCATTGACTTTGATGATGCAGGGAAAGTGTCAAGCGCAGTGCTGGACCCAGAGTGTCATGAGCTCTTGAGACACACACAGTGGGTGCTAGATCAGCCCTGTTGAGTGACAGCTCCAAATGATGCCTGTTGAGCTCCTGGCACAGGGTAGGCACCTGTTCTATGAGGGAATGCATGAATTTGGGAACAGAGCCCAAACCGCCACCCCATCCCCAGTGCTTGCGTCCACCATCACAGGTGCAATCAACAGAAAGCTAACCTGCCCCTCTCAGAAGATGAGTAAGGAAAATACCTTCCCCGGAGGGCTTTGAGCTTTGCATGCTGCTTAAGGTGGGCTGAGCGGCTAACGGCAGGGCTTTCGGAGTATGTATTTCTCGGCAGGGAAAGAGAAGAAACTGGGGGTTCTTCTAAGGCCGCTGAAAGTGCCTGATTTGGGGACTGGTATTAAAGTTCCAAAGGTTCAAATCATTGAGGCTGCAGCTAGCGAGGGTTGGATTCGATCATCTGAGAGATCCAGGGAGTAGCCCAGTGCCCCAAACCTCACAGGTCTGGCCTCACCTGGGCCGTACTGACTCAGGCCTGGCTCCCACCTTTGGGGGGTCTTCCTTTGCCCCTTCTTTGCTACCAGGTTCCGTTTTTCAGTTGCGTGCCTCTCCCCTTCGCCAGCATCAAGGAGGTAAGGAGGTGCCTGGGAGGGTAGTCAGGACTCAGAGGAAACAAAACTGGATTTCCAGCCTCTAGCCTCACACAGGGCAGCCTGAGGTCACCTGCTGGGTACCGTCGGGGTGCAGGAGGGAGCCAGGTCCCAGCCAGCTTGGAGGGGCCAAGGAGGAGGCAGGTGCATGGTGGGTTGCAGAGGGACAAACCCCCAGCCTGTTGACCAAGAGCATCAGAGGGAAGTCCTGGAGCCCACTAGCCCCTCCCGCCTTGGCAAATGCGACACACCTCCTTATTTCCTACTATTAAAACCTGCGATAAACCTCCCAGCTCATATCAGCTGTGCACACCTTAATAAGGAATAAATTGAGGAAATGTGACCGAAATGTTGGGATGAATGCCAGAGACCGGATTGGAGATATGGACTAGCCCCGGGACCCTGTTAAAGGTCAGGGTAGATATCTAGATGTATAACCTTCACATCCCTGAGCCTCTGCAAAATGGTCCTCCAACACCTGCTTGCTGGAACTTTTCCCCAGGGACTAACTTTTCCCCAGAGGTGGGTTAAGAACACAACACAGTATGTGGTGCAGAGCGGGTCCTCCCAGGCCTGAGCCCGCAGCGGCGCCCGCCAGCCGGATGACCACCAGAGGGCGCTGTAGCCCAGCCAGTCCGGGGCCTTCTCTCCCGGAACCTCTGGGACCCGGGGTCTGGGAGGTACAGGCTGGTGACTTTGCCTTCCAGGGTGTGGCCTGTTCAGCGCAGCGTTTCCTGACTTCACTTGGATGACCGGGCAAAATGCAGGTTCCTGGCTCTCGATCCCGATGCAGCTTGGACCCTCCGGGGAGCTCTGAAAATACTGATGCCCTGTCCTCCTCCGGAGATCACCGTTTTATTAGACCGGAGGCAGCCCAGGCATGGGGGTTCCAAGGTGCCGCCAGCACTGAGACCTGCTGCTTGGAACTTGGCATGGTGGCCATGTCTCATCGGTACGCGAAGTACACCGGATTTGGGAGCCACTGCCTGATAGGGACTTGCGTGGTCATTCATTCACTCATTCACTCATTCACCCCTCTCTGTAGCCCCGCCCTTTGCTTCCGGACCTCTGGGTGCCTTCCTAAGCTGGCACATGGAACTACAGGGTGGAATCATTCTGAACCTTTCTCTCTAACTTGCTCGTTTTGGTCCCTCGGCCTTGCTGGTATCCAGTCAGCTCCCCTACTGCTGGGCTTTCTGCTTACTTCCCAATTAATCTATGCAATGGCGGGCATCCTGGGCCAGCCTCCTGGGGCCTGTGGGTGAGGGTCCTCTGCACAGCTCTGCCTAAGAAGGGGGAATGGCTGGGACAGGGGACAGGTGCCTCGTAGGTTTTCATCCAAACTGCCAAGTGGTCCCCCCCCCTTGTCCGGTGAGAAGCCCGGCTGGCAGGTCTTCCGTCCTGAGCATGTTCCATCCCGTTGAGGGGATGGAGTCACAGTGGCTGCTGATTACGGAGCATATTTGTGTGTCCATGGGGTGCACTTACAAACCTCATCCTCTCCCACACACAGCGGCACGGTTATCCCCATTTGACAGAAAAGGAAGCTGAAGCTCTGGGAGGTTGTCACTCACTGAGGTCACCAACTAGGGACACTAGGGATTTGAACCCAGAACCATCTGACAGCAGAGCCCATGCTCCTGCCCCCCAGCCCTCCTGCATCCGTGTTACCCTGCCCAGCTCTGGCGGCGGGGCCTGGCATGCAGTGGGCACAGCGCTCCACCTGGCCCTGGCCGTGGGGGCCGAAGGCTCTGCTGTTTGCACACCTGCTTGGTAGGTGGAGGGGAGGAGCCTGCCTGCTTCTAGAGGACCCCCAGATTCCAGGGAAAATGTGGCTCGGGGCCCAGCCACGAGAGGCGTTTCCTGAGGCCGTTGGGTCAGGCCTGGCACCTCCCCAGCTCTGAGAACAGGCCCGGAGGCACTCAGCCTCCAGCCTCCCAGGCAGCTGGGCAGCATCCCGGCGGCCGCTTCCCTGTCGCCGTCCCCCGGCTGCTTGAGGTGGGCCTCACAGGCCCAGCCCCTGCCCTTTCTTGGGCTTTGCCTGGCACCATGGGGGACCAGCATCTGTCCTTAAGGGGATCCCCAGAACCAGGAGCTCCTCCAAGCAGCAGGATTGTCTCATTTTATAGATGAGGGGATTGAGTCCCAGTGAAAAAACTTGTGGATGGCAGAGTGGAAACTCAAACTCCAGGCTCCCGACTCTGGGCACCATGTTCTCCCTGCCGCCCTCCACTTAGCCCTCTCCACACAGGAGGAAGCTGGGGTTCTCGGTGCAAGGCTCTGCCTTGGAGCTGACGGACAATGGGGAGAGCCTTGGAATTCAAACACCAACCAACCGTATTTTTGTTCTAAACCCACTCTGGACAGCCCCAGGGGAGCTCTTGGCGCCTGTGTCGGGGACAAGGGTGCCCCAGCACATCCCATGCCCTGCTGGCTCCCCCACCTGACTGTGAGCCCAAGGGACCAAGCCTCACTTCCGGGCTTTTCCCTGCCGTAGAGCAGGGCAGGGATTCAACCAGAGTGTTTCCTGAAGAGGATGGCTGGTGGATGGAGAGGGGAGGGGGACTTTAGCCTGTCTAGGGAGTTTGCCCCGCCCATCCCCACAGCCCCCTCCCCTGGCCAGCACCAGCCCCACCTCGTCCCACCTCTCTCCAGCCTTGGAAACTTGTACCTCAGCCCAGAAAAATGAACTTGCTGGAAGTCTGCTGCTGGCTGTCAGGGCCAGCCAATCAGGTGCTGGGGCACTTGGCCCACCTCTAGGGCTGGAGGGCCAGGGGCTGGCCCAGAGGGGCTGGACCCTGGAGAGCAGGGGAACAGAGGGAGGGGGAGCCAGAGAGTGGGAGACCCTGAGGTGGTGGGAAGGGAGAGCTGCCCAGGCTCAGGGGTCAGGGCCACCACCTCTGACTCCTGGAGCCCCTGTCCTCACTGCACCGCGGGCACACTGGAGCATGGCCCTCAGCCTCGACACAGCCACTCAGCATTTTCTCATCCTCTTCTCTCTCCCTGCTCCTCTCCCCTTCCCCAGGTAGCAAGGACTCTTGAGAGGTAGATTCTAGAACTCTAACACAGGCTCTTCTGTGGCAGGGACAGGGATACATAACAATGAGAAGTGGAGTTCCATCTAGCATCACCTTGCCTTGTCCCCATTTTACAGATGAGGAAGCTGAGGCTTAAGACGACTGACATGCCCACGTCTTTTGGCTACTCTGGGATTTGAATCCAGATGGGCCTGAGGCCTGAGCTCTATTTCCTTCCTCTTCCCTGTCCTCTTCCCCAGTCTGGGCCAGCCTCCGAGCCTCTGCTCACGCCTCTCTGCCCGCACTCTCCTGACACATTGTCTGCATCTGGGCCCACCTCCTCCCATCCATCACCCCACAGACACACTCAGGGATCCCTTCAGCCACCCAGAAAAGCCTTCTTCTTCAGGCCCAGGGCCCCGGAGCCACAGGAAACCCATAAATACAAACACATTTGCATGAAAACCCAGGGGTCTGTGTCTGTCGCTAACAGCTCACTCAGCTTCCAGGACAGGGCTGCCAGAGGTGGGAGCAGCTTCCTGGGACAGCCGTGTCCTGACAGCCAGGTCAGTACCATTCGGTGTTTATTTAGACACACAGATAAAAGAACCTGGCGGTTCAAACAGTTTGTGATCCTTTTTTGTTTTTTTGTTCCGATACATATATGTGTGTATGTGTATATGTGTGTGTATATATATATATTTTAAAAAATCAACACATCACCAGTCCCCCATACGTTTCTTCTCTACTGAGCAATATATACAGCCTATTATATATATGTGTGTGTGTGTATATATATATATTTTAAAAAATCAACACATCACCAGTCCCCCATACGTTTCTTCTCTACTGAGCAATATATACAGCCTATTATATATATGTGTGTGTGTGTATATATATATAATATATTTTTTCAATAGATAACTACATTCAAGTAATGAAACACAGGATTTACAATTTCCCTCTGACGGCAGAGGAAAAGCAAATTCACACACAGTTCACAGAAGTACCATAAGGGCCCAGTCAGACAGGAGCTGAGGCCCCTCTTGGGGGCCAGGCAGCGGCAGCAGCAGGAACCAGACAATCACACTGTTGCTAACTATGGGAGGCGGGCAGGTGCCGATGAAGGGGGACGCCGCCCAGCCTGCTCTGTCCAGGCTGTGTGGGCAGGCCATGCTGGCTGACCCAGGCTCCCCGGCTGGGCTGGGCTGGGGGGCATGTCTGGAATCCTCACTTTTCCAGGAATCTCTCAAATTTGGGGTTCACAAAGGAGAAGCCAGCGAATGCTGTTTGGTCCATGGAGTCGATGAGGTTCTTGTCAGTGTAGGAGAGACGTGCCTTCTCGTTCAGGAACTCTTGGTCGAAGTTGCTGTAGTCTCCAGGGGACTTCTGCGGGCAGAGGGAAGTGGCACATGAGCGGGACCCAAGGGGCGGCCCTCCAAAGGTCCCCAGGTTCCCAAGACTGCCTCCCACACACCTCAAAATCCCTGTGGTGCTGGGCCAGGCCAGAGCTGGCCTTATTAAGAACAGAAAGAGAGACAAACCGTAAGAGACTCTTAACTCTAGGGAACAAACTGAAGGTTGCTGGAGGGGAGGCTGGTGGGGGGCATGGAGTAACGGGGTGATGGGCATGAAGGAGGGCTCGCGATGTGAGGAGCACTGGGTGTTATACGCAACTGATGAATCACTAAACTCTACCCTAAAACTAATAATACACTATATGTTAACTAACTTGAATTAAAAAAAAAAAAAGAGAGAGAGGGCGAGTACAGAAAAGGAGTCTCTCCTAACAGCCTAAGAGAAGCCCAGCTGGACAGTGGATCATCCCCCCAAGGGGATGAAGGAAGCCAACAAAGAGCCCTGGGCCTGGATAAGGAGAGGTGGCATCATCCTGAACGGGACTCCAGCAAACCACAGCCCATGAGCAAACCCCACCCACCACCTGTTTTTATAGGCCCCAAGAGCTGTAAGAACAGATTGCACACTTCTAGTGCTTAGGGAAAAAAATCAAAAAGGAGATTAATATTTTATGACATGTAAACATGAGATGAAACCCAAATTCCAGTGTCCGTAAGTGAAGTTTTATTCATACAAAACTATACCCATTCATTGACATATTTTCTATGGCTGCTTTATTGAGACCGTCTGGCCTGCAAAGCCTAAAATATGTACCATCAGACTGTTCCAGGAAAAGTTTGCCAACTCTCTGCTTCTGAGGATACAATGAAATGGGAATAGAAGAGATCTCAGGCCGGTGGCCTTTAGGCCAAACTAAGCAGGCAGGTACAATCATTTTGACTGGCACTGGGTTTTAATGAGATTTGAGCCAGTTACTTTAAAATTGGGCAATTTGACGTAAAAATCCAGATTTCTGGCTTCTTTTGAAAACTGTCAGCCTTGGGCCCGTTTCCCGGCGTGTGCACTCCTGGTGTGGAGGTCCCCTCGGACAGCTCACCCTAGGCCCCCGACCATTTCCCATGGACCCACACACCTGCCCTGTGCTTCTTGGTGCAGAGAAAGAAATCTACCCCTCTTTCTATCAAAAGCAAGAAACTGCGAGCAGACTGTGTGATTTTCCTCCAGCCAGCCTGGCCCAGTAATAAGGTGCCCAGCCCAGGAGGCCCCCGAATTTCAGCTCCCTGGAGCTGGGGAAGCTCTCCGGCCTCAAGGGACAATTCGGGGCACATTACACAAGCTGCCGGGGGTTCCTGACAGAGAGAAAGCCAGAGGGAAGAGCTGCGGTCAGAGAAGGGCCACGGAGTCCAACTCCTTATCTGAGAATTCTGGCCCCAACCTGCCTCTGCTCTCCTGCTGGCTCCTCTGTAGATTCTGGGCCTCTGTGGGAACATCCCTCCTCCATCTGGAACGCCCCCCGGCTGCCCTCCCCGCCCCGCCCAGATCCCGCTTCTTCTCAGACCCACTCCGTTCTTTGCATCTGGGCTCCTGCTGACAGACTCCCCCGGTGACAACTGATCATGTGTGGTCTTGTGACAGTTCTTGCATTGTTGTCTTATATCATAAACAATCATCAGTGCGCAAGCTTCTTATCTCTCTGAGGAGCTGGAGCTCCTCTGGCTCTGGGCCTCCTGCTCTGTGCTTTGCACCCAACACTCAGCATTTCCAAGATGTACTGGAAGATGGATTGGGTGGATGGAGGGAGGGAGAGGCCTTAACTCTGATTCCCGAAGCATAGTCCCCTGCAGACGGTCTACTGACGGGTGGCTGGATCTACAGTTCCCACTGTTTGTTGACTGACTGACTGACTGACTGAGGGGGGTTGTGCGGTGAGAACACAAAGGTAGAGGCAGAGACAGAAGGTGCCGGGGCTGCCAGGGAAGCAGGCTTGCTGGAAGAATGGAGAGGAGGAAAACATGCAAACGAAGCAAGAGGAGAGGCAGGGCCTGGAAGGCAGTGGAGGGCAACAGCAAGTGGGTGGCCCCCACAGGAGTGGGATCACCTACCACTTTGGGCTTGAAGGGCGGCTCCACGGCCCGTTTCTCCAGCAGAGTCCAGTTGATGGTCTTGAAGAAGGGGTGGATTTTGATGTTCCCATTCACTCCCAGCCTCTTGGTTGTATCCCTTTCAAGCAGCTGCAACCCAGCAGGGGCCCTGGTTAGCCCCGAGGACGTCGGGAAATCCAGAGTCTCAGCGAACCCCAAGCAGGCCCAGGGCTGTCCAGGCGGGCCTAGCCCAGCCCTGTAGCCCAGCCCAGGGCCTCTGGACCTGAGAGGGTCCTCTCTGGCCTGCTACCCTCCTGGGTCCCCCAGACATAACAGGCCATGCAGGAGGCCTGCCGGGACTTTCTGCCGTGGGCCTGTGAGCAAAAGCAGTGGTGTTTACCGGGTGTTCACGATCTGCCTAGCACAGACCCGAGTACCCTTCCCCAAAACTCTGCGAGGCAGGTTCTCCCACAGCCTCCATTTGGCAGATAAGGAGACAGACTCAGAGTTTAGCTTCAGGTCTGTCTCCTGACCCTAAGCTCATAATCACTGTACCAGGCTGATTCGGCGCGGTGGACTCAGGAGCTCTTGGGAACGTGGAGAGCGAGCAATACCCCCAGTGTGTTAGGACCAGAGCGTCAGTGAGGCTGCATTCCAGGGACGAGGGGCTCCTGGCCTACCTATGACCCGCATGTCTGCTGGGCCCTGACCCAGCCAGCCTGGCCCAGAGTCTCCCACCTTCTCCAGGATGTCCTTGGACTCCTTGGTGATCCAGCGGGGATAATGCGGTGTGTCCACACGGATGGACTCAAAGAGTTCGTCCTCATCGTCACCATGGAAGGGGGACTGACCAATGAGCATCTCGTAGAGAAGGACTCCAAAGGACCACCAGTCCACGGAGAATGAGTACTTCAGGCCCTGCAGGATCTGGGGCAGGGGAAGGGGGGCCGGAGCTGAGAGGAGCCCCCGAGCAGGAGGCGTGGCCAGGCTTCCTCATGCTCCCGCCTGTGGCTCGGGACTGTCTCCCACCCTCTTGGGACAAGGTATCTGAGCGGGCTGGTGGCCGGGAGGATGCCCACTCACCTCAGGGGCGATGTAGTCAGGAGTGCCACAGAACGTGCTAGCCTGTTTGTCCCCGAATATGTTCTCCTTGCACATCCCAAAGTCGGCAATCTTGATGTGGCCATCCTGGTCCAGCATCACGTTGTCCAACTTGAGGTCCCTGAGAGGGGGCAGGAAAGGGAGTCACCGGGGGCCAATTCCCCTCCTCTCCTCCCAGTCCCCACGTCTCCATTTCCAACCCTGTAAGCCTAGGACCTCCCCCAGGGAACAAGGCAATGAGGAAGAGAAAAGGAAGCCAAAGGAGAAAGAGGTGCTAAAAACAGGTGTTTCCTGCAAAACACCTGCTGGTGTGCCACGTGCTGAATACACACCACCTGACTTCCTAAAGCCCACACTGAAGATCAGAGAGGTGACGTCACTCGCTCAGGGTCACCTAGCCAGCGGTCAGCCGCGGACATGGCCCTGGGCTCGGGTTTGCCTGACTCCACAAGGGCAGGGACCAGGACTGTTTTATACAGTTTGTGGTTTCAGTAGATAATTGATGCACATGGAGTACTAGAAAAGGGCAAACAGCAGAAGTCCATCTTCACTAACCTCGGCAACCAGGCCCACCCCAGAGCGGTCCTAGGCACAGGCAAGCACACTACAGTGTGTGGCTCCCCCCAGCACCTTCTCAAACCCAAGCGCCAACATTTGATCCACACTGTCCCATGGGTTCCATTTCCCCTTGACAAGGCATCTTGGCTTTGTCCCACACCAGTGCCCAGAGCTCAGCATCAGCCTTATTGATGGGGTCCCTACTCATTCACTGCAGGATGGGACTGTCATTTATTGGGCGAGAACTGATGGAAGCCGGCCCTACTGACAGCTCAGATGGGGCTCGGGAGCAAGATTGATCGCTCCCAGGAAGGGAGACGGCGTCCCAGGCAGTTCTGCGCTCCCGCCAATGGCGCCAAGTATGGGCAACGAGCTCCCAGTCCCTGGTGCTGGGCCAGCCTCAGCAGAGGGGCCACAGGAATCCGAGCAATGGAGTAGGAGGCTTAGGCAAATACCCAACCAAAGCCTGACTCCGAGTGGAGATGGGGCCATGGCTGGGCTGGGCCTCACGCAGAGCATTTTGGGGGATATGATGGGGTTGGAGCTTTCCCTCCTAAAACCCCCCCAATACACGCCCCCCCTACCCCCGCACCTGTAAATGATCCCTTTGCTGTGCAGAAACTGTAGTCCACAGACTATCTCGGCTGCATAAAACCTGGAGGACAGAGAGAGACAAAGTGCTCTGGGATTTCTATGACCAGCTCCTGCTTCTCCCTGGGCCCCCATCCCCGCCCCCAGGGTCAGGAAATGCTGCAAATAACTCCATGGACAACCTGGGCCTGTATCAGGCAGGAACAGGCTGGCAAACAAGGCTAAAAAGAAAATGATGAAGGAAAAGCTCCAAATGAGACAATGCTCTGTCCTAAGAGTGTACACCTTTATACAGATAAACATATGTGCACACACACACAGTTGGGGGGTACATGCCCGTCTGGGGGCCACACACCAGGGTCCTGTGTTGTACAGCATGACCATCTGCAAGGCTGCCCAGGCCCAGGCTCAGGGAGGGGACAGGACCCTGGCACGTCTGTGTTGTGACACTAGCCACTCACTCACCATCCATGGCTTCCCATATGCTGGGGACAGTCCCAGCTACCCCAAGTCTCCCCATCCCCAGCTCTAGCCCAGGCTGACTTCTCCGGGGAGAGGGAAGAAGGAACAAATGGTAGACCAGCAGTGCGCTCCCCCCCACAACAGGGCCCTCACATACATGGCACGGTAGAGCTCGAAGCGGCCTTTGTCCTGGATGTGGTACATCAGGTCGCCCCCATTGAGGAACTCCATCACAAAGAACAGGTGGTCCTGCGGTCGGAAGAGGGGTGAATAGGGCACAGCAAAGGGCAGAAGGCTCTCTACTGAGGGCCACCGAGGGCAAGCCCCAACAGGAAGTAGGGGACACCTCTGCCCTGGAGGACCCGGGGGCGGGGGGGACGTGGCCCTGCCCCGGGGGGCTGAGGGAGGGGCTGTGGCTCCAGAGGCAATAACAGTGGGAGAGCCGGGCACCTTGGTCTGGAACGTGCAGAAGAGGTGGGTGAGAAAGGGATTCTCCCAGGCGAGTGCCAGCACCCGCTTCTCCACCATGGTGCACTCCACATCATCATCGATCAGAACCACATCCTTCTTGAGGGCCTTGATAGCAAAGAACTCCTTTTTGCTCTTCAACTCTGCGAGCAGCACCTGATGGGCAGGCAGGATGCTGAGCAGGAGAAAGCCAGGCCAAAGGGCCAGGGTACCACAACCCCACCCCATCAGGAAGAAGCCAGGTAGGGTGGGGATACAGGTGCCCTTGCTGGGCCCAGGTCCCCTGAGCTGCCCCAAGGCCCAACGGCCCCTTACCTTTCCAAAGCTGCCTTTGCCCAGGACCTTGTGGAAGGTGAAGTTCTCAATGTTGCACCTGGTGCTGCCCTCCCAGATCTTGCCGTAGGTCCCGCTGTCTGCCCAAGAGATGGTGCTTTAGACTCAGGTCTCTATCTGCTGAGTCCCCTCCCTTGGGGCCAAGGGGTGGGGTGGGGTGAGGGGCCTCAGAGAAGAAGGGGCTCCCTCTCCAGAGGTGGTGCCTCCTCTCAGGTCTTGGCCACGGAGGGAGGTCAGGCCCCCATCTCGAGTCCTCGTGGGGAGTGGGGGCTTTCCTGGGGGAAATGGGCCCAGCTTCACCTGGGACAATATCTCCAGAGACTCCTGGCTTCCTCTCAAAATTCTGGTAGATTCCAACAGTCTCTGTTTCTGATTTCCGGGAGGGTCTCTGGAGGACGGGATAGAGGTTGGGGAGCCAGACAGTCATACCATCATCAGAACTCCCAGCCCAGAGGGAGGACCCCCACCATCCCTAAATCTACTCTCAAAACCAATGGGGGCCAGCAGGGGCAAAGCCCAGGACCTCCAGGTAGTGCACGTGCGCGTGCATGCACACACACACACACACACGCACACTTCCTGTGGCACAGGGACACCTTGATGGTCTGGAAGGCACTGATTACAAACAAAAGTTTTGTACACTGAGCCCCACCCTCCCAACCACTTACTCAATAGATTGTTATTTGTGTTGCCTTCGCTTGTAATTGATTCTAGAATTTTACCTGGAAGTTTTATGGCA